TTTTAAGTGAGAATTATCTAGAAAATGCATTCAAATGTAGTTTCCTAGGCCTTACTGCTGAATGTTCTCTTGCCATCAGCTGGAATAGGGCCGAGGAATCCACTCGTTTTCACTAACCAGCGTCACCACGCCCTCCGATTCTGAGGCACGTGGTTCCTATTTTCGATATCATTGCTTGTGGGAATATTAAAAGATTTTTGCCTGGGAAAGTAGTTCTTTTGTATTAATGTATTTATAAGAAACTCAAGTCATTAAACCAAGGCGAAGAGTTCAAGGGCAGGAGGTCAGTGGGGCAGATTTAGGACAATTCCGAAGCGGGGAGAACCGGGCTGGTCTGAGCTGACTTCCAGAGATGTGGGGTGGGGATGCAGTGGGGGCGGGGTGGGGGGCAGTTTCAGGGCAGATGGAAGTGACAGGATCCAGGCGTGTATTCGGTGCAGCAGGCCAAGGGGCGTTCCTACCTCCGTAGGTAATGAACTTCTCGAGGGTGGGAACTGGATCTTACTCACTTTCAGGGCAGCGCCCAGCACAGAGTGGGCTCCCAACGAGTGTTCGTTAGTTGAATCGCGAGATAAACCTGTTACGTAAAGCACAACAAAGTCAAAAAGGAACTTTCTGTACCTGGGCTCTTTTCTTAACCTCGAGTTTTTCACTTCTTTGCTGACTTGCTTCTCGTTTCTTTTTGGTTTGCACTATCACGGAGGCACATATCTAATTGTCTTGTGCAAGTTAAAATAATTGAAATGCTCTCAAATAAAGAAGTATTGAAAATATCGTGTGTCTCTTAATATTAGGCTTTTTCCCATGAGCACACAGAAGTGGGGTGATATCCGGTCAGATATGGACACCGAACTTTCTGAAATTAAGTGTCATTTTGGGGAATACAATCCACTTCCAGTTAAATATTGTTAGGGTTTGTTTCTCTTTTAATTGATTTTTTCGTATATAATGTGGCTCTTAGTGGGAAATTGTGTATCATGATAAAACGTTTAATGTATTCAGCACACACGAAAAATACTCTTTTAAAATACTGCTGTTAACAAATTCCGATTTTTTAAAAATTATCCCCCCAATGCGAGCGAATTCATAAATGTTCTCTTCTGTAACTCTTTGATCAGAAGGGACTGTCTTCAAATCCAAATGCTTCTCTGCAGGATATCACAAAACTTCCTGGCAGGCACTTTTAAACAAGTTGAGAAGTTTTATAAGATAAAAATATTTTTTCAGTTGACTTGACAACCATGTACGATGGTAGTGGAGAGTTTATTTGCCCAAGGCTCTTTGTCAAAATGAATTTAAACTGAGATTATTAAAATGTAGCTCAGCGGCACCGCGAGAGGAGAGGCGCTGCTGACGTCTCACTGCGAGGACGCTTTTCCACGCGTGGCGTCGGCGTCGGGCTACACGCGCGTTTCTGCTCACGGAGAGGAGACCTTTGCAGTTGTTCAGAAAACAATGAGTCGCCTGCATCCGTGGAGAGTTTGGAACCAGAAAGAGAGGCCCTGCAGCTCAGGGGTTCCGAGGCCTGTGGGAGCGCGTGGGTGTGAGTCACGGCCGCGCGGGGAGCCCCACGGTCTCCTGTGGGGAGTAAATGATGTCGTCCCTGCAACTGATTAACACGGTGCCTGGAATAGATGAAGGCTCATGAGTCATCGTTCCGTCTCAAGTCTGTAGAATGAGGCCCGCGCAAGGTCCCCTGGTGATCCGTGGCAGTCGCCCACGTGTGGCGGGGAGCCTGTCCCAACAGCAGGGTCTTTTCCGTCGCGAGTGAAACAGCTCCGGGAAAACTTAACTGAAGGTAAACAAGGCTTGAGTCGCCAGATCCCTTTCCGAGGCTGTAGCTAATTTCGTACGTGAGAATCAGGATCCCAGAAGGAAAACGCTCATCTGGGTGAGAACTCGTAATCCTCCCAATTTAGGAAATCACATTAGGCTCCTTTGGGAAAGTGTCCAAACTGCTAAATCTCGGAGGCGATACCTCTTCTTTTTCTCTCAACCGGGTACATGATTTAAGAAGTTTTATTATTTCTGAAAGAGACCGAGCGGTTTTCAAGAGTCGGTGCCCACGTGAGTGGTTTGAAAGGGGGCACCTGGCGGAGGGAGCAGGTTCCACGGGGCACGCGGCTGGTGCGGCCGCTGCTCGGAGACAAGGGAAGACCCCTTCCTCCACCCGGGAGACTGCGCCCTGTTTACAATTTCTGATTCTAATTCAACGTCCGGACAAGATAGATTCTTGCCATTATGATATCCCCGGTTTTCCTGAAGTCCACAGCTTCCACCAAAGTGAGCAAATACAGCAGATTGCCTTTAATGATATTCCCATTATTTTTCTGACAAAATAAAACAAGAGGAGAAAACTCTCTGATAGAAAGAACAGGTATGAGTTGCTACCGTATCCCAGCATCGAGCCAGGCATCTCACACCCCGCAGGTGCAGACTGACCGCCAGTGAGGAAAGCATTTTAAAATAAAGAGGAAACCGAGGCACTTTTCACTTCTTTATTATTGAAGTTGACTCTGAGTGTCTGAGTAAAGAGATACACCGTTCAAATCTCTCTCTGACTCCAGGGTTTTCCGTTCTGCCCCTAGAGACTGAACGGGCCCGTACCTTCCAATGCCATCTCTCATTTTTCCTCTTTATTTGCAAAGTTTGGAAAACACCTGACCTCCTAGTCTTTCTGTCAGTCATTCTGTTAATGAGTGTGCCTATGGCCCTATTTAAAGGCTTTCATTAGATGAGGAAAGATAAACGTGATTCATCTCATAGCTGAATTTTTCTAACCCTAAAAGTGAAAAATAATATTCAGTAAAGTATATATAGTTTTATTTAGACCACAATTTTCATAGTCTTCAAAGCCAGTGGACACAGTGAAGTTGTTACTTATTACTGTTTATGCATTAATAAATCCCCTCTATATAATTTTCTTCTTTCAAACATATATTCAGTGTAATCACTTGGATGTAAACTTTTAATTTATCTTAATGAAAATGTAGGTTGATAGCCTCGAGAAGTTTTATTTTTATTTGAGCAAATGCGGTCAACTGGTGGTTTTCCTTAGCAGCTTCTGTAATCATTCTCTGATTCGTGTTTCAAAGTACAGTACGTTATTCTTGCTACTCGGGACTCTTCTCTGTGTGGGACTGTTTTATTTGTTGTGTAGGTCACCACACAGAGAGAAGGGAGCACCTGGCTCTCCCATCATCCTCTCACACGTCACATGGAGGAGGCCAAACTTCCCTCTTTCTGCTCCTTCGTTACTAATCCTCACTCACAGTTATTGTAATGGCCTGATTATGAGAATTCCTAGGAAGTTACATGAATTTCTTTCTGAAGTAGAAGTGACTCTACCTGATGACTTGGTTTGGCATTTAAGCGTGGTTTATAGAATATGATCCCAATGTGTCAGGACCTTAGAGAGGTGAGTAAGTCCCTGTCCTCAAGAAATGGCAGAAAGAAACAGAAGTAAAAGTATATAATATTAAAACATTGTAGAAAACACCATAACAATGCTGTTCGCAGGCTCCTATAGGGGAAAACAGAGATGGTCCTCATGGGGGTGGTGGGCGTTAGCGAAGCTCCTGAGGGTGATTTCCATGAAGATCATGTAGCGTTTCTCTTGGCGAAGATGTTGAAGGGAAGGCGCTTTGGACAGGGCAGGGGCTGGAATGGAATTCACAGGTGTCAAGTGTGTGCTGGCTAGTCACGTGACTTGAGGGCCAGCCACCTCGGCTCCCGAGTTGCCACTTTCCACTTTCACACTTGGGCAGGTTACTTCTCACCAGTCAAATGGGTGTTAGAATTGTTCCTACATCACAGAACTGTTTCACTCCAACTTTCAAGGTCCTCTGTGTGATGTATGACACATAGAAAACGCTAAGGAACTATTAATGACAAGAGGATGAGAAACAACGTGACAGTTGGGAAACTTGAAATGCTTCGGTGTTGCTGGAAGGAAAGCCCCGTGAGGGGTGGGGAGAAGGTGAAGACCCTGTGCACCCGTCGTACTGAGGAGCTGGAAGGTGCCCCGCAGGCGACAGGAAAGCAGAGGGGCAGCGGTCCAGCCGAGTCTTCAGTAGACCTCCCTGGGCAGGGGAAGAGGGGCAGGGATGACGCCGGTCAAGGCTGGAGGCACAGAACCCAGTTAGAAGGCCACAGGAGTTGCCAAAGCAAATTATTCTGTCATTCTCTTCAACAGTAACAAAAGGAGTTGAGAAGAGGTGACAGTTGAAGTAGAATTGGTAGGACCTGCTCCTAACCCTTAGTACCTGAAAGAGCCTGGGAGATCCTTTGGGAAAGGAGGGAGTGGGGGACGACCTGAAGATCCTTGATTTGGCAGAACGGGTGGCTGGTGAAGGCACGAGGAGAAGCACGAGAGGACATGGGCAAGTGGAGGTTTGGAAGAGAAAACGATGAGCGTGGTCTTTAGACAGACTCAGTGCGACACTTTCAGTGCATCTGAAGTCCAGTCTTTAGACTGGCGTTCCAACTGAACAGATTCGGGATGCGACAGAGCAATAAGGGTGGCTGTGAGTGGGGAGGCCTCCCGGGGACAGTGTGTGTGTCATCTGATGAGTGGAAGACGACAGTCCAGTGGAGCACATGGGGAAAATATAGTTTAATGTGGTTTCGTGTTTGACCTAATGTATGAGTAGAGAATCTACAGTGAAGAGCAAGAATCTTATGTGGTCAAATAGAAACCTGCTATTTCTATGTGCTTCATATACCACTGGGTGAAAACTCTATCTATAGACCACTTTGATATAGGCAAACTAAGCATATTGTTTACTAGATTGACTGGGAAAATGTTTGCCACTAAATAAAATATTCACCTTTCATCTCGACAAAATTTTTAAAATAAAGCAACCTAAAATCGCATTTTATTTTGACCTTTAAAACTGATTCCTCTCCCATTAAGTATTCAGATGTTATTTAATTGCAGTTATAAAAAGCTAAAAACTGTTTTCTGATGTAACTAATGCTTTGACTCTGTTTTGAATCAGCATGGGCATCAGTCACGACAATGACCACCCCTCCTGCGCAGACGGTCTTCATATCATGTCTGGTGAATGGATCAAAGGACAAAATCTCGGTGACGTTTCCTGGTCCCAATGTAGCAAGGAAGATTTGGAGAGATTTCTGAGGTACCGAAGTCACTTCCTGTGGCTGGATCATGAGTGTTGGTGCCCCCACTTCCTCCACCAGCCCGCGCGGGTGGTGTGGCTGAGCCAAAGGACCCCTGGTGGGACATCAAGGCTCTAGGTTCTGTTTCAGGCTGTCCCACGGACTCACAGTGTGAACTGGGCCATAGTAACCCATCCGCTTCTGAGCTTCCACATCTCCACATTTGAAACTTGGGCAAGGTGATTTGTGAGGCTGAAAAATGTTAAGGCTTTAAAAACTTCATCACAGCCTCTAACTGCCTCTTTAGAATTTCGCAGCAGGACAGTTCTCGTTACTCATCACTCAGCACGTCTTTTGTCATCATGGGGAACCTCTTTGCCAAAAGCTCCGCCTTTTCACTGTGACACCTCTAAGTTCTGGCTCTTTTTTCATTCCTGCGTAGTTTTCATCGTTGCAAATAGTCCTCCATTTTCTTCCTTTCCACCTTTGACAGCAATAACACTTAGCTTCTGCCTGGTTGGAACAAAGCAATGCAGAGCATTATTGTTTTACTTTTCATTTTAAAGCCTGTGTTCCTTAGTTATTACTTTGGCTGTAGAAGGATCGGCTGGAGTGAGGAGTGAGGGAGAAAGAGAGTTGCTTGAGTAAGAGATGTACACCCACCGAGCTAAGCTACTTTCATGGCATAGCTACACCCCATTCATTTTTACAAACCATTTAAGTTGCAAAGCCCACTTGTCTGCTAAATGAATACTAAAATGTACTAAAGTAAAACATTACGTTACCACAGCGCTTTCTGAAAGGCGTACAATCTATTCTCTGCCTGCTCTGCATGGGGACGGCGTGGCCAGCAGCGCCCACCTGTCCTGCGAGCGCAGCGCCTCCCTGGCACGGCAGCCCTCAGTGGGCCTGATGCGTTTCTGGGGAGGATGTGTGACGTGGTCCGGCTGCCTTCACACAAGTCGGAACTGTGATAAAATTAAATGTCACCTCATAAGTGGAAATTGTGCCACGATGTGAAGTACATGTTCTTGCGATGAACACACACTAGAGAATGCTTTCCATAGATTCTTTTTTTTTCCATTTAAAAAATTTTTTTATTGATTATGCTGTTACAGTTGTTCTATTCCCCCTTTATTCCCCTCCACCCTACCCCCCATCCCCACCATCACCCCCCCTTTAGTTTATGACCATGTGTCTCAAGTTCTTTAGGTTCTATATTTCCCATGCTATTCTTGCCCCTCCCATCTATTTTCTATCTACTGTCTATGCTACTTATTTTCTGTACCTTCTCCCCCCTTCTCCTCCTCCCACTCCCCTGTTGCTAACCCTCCTTGAGATCTTCATTTCTATGTTTCCACTCCTGATCTAGCTGTCCTTTTAGTTTGCTTTTGTTTTAGGTGTGGTTGTTAATAACTGTGAGTTTGTTGTCCTTTCACTGTTCATGTTTCTTTAACTTCTTTTTCTTAGATAAGTCCCTTTAACATTTCATATAATAAGGGCTTGGTGATGATGAACTCCTTGAATTTGATCTTATCTGAGAAGCACCTTATCTGTCCTTCCATTTTAAATGAAAGTTTTGCTGGATAGAGCAATCTTGGTTGTAGGTCTTTAGATTTCATGACTTGGAATACCTCTTTCCAGCCCCTTCTTGCCTGTAAGGTCTCTTTGGAGAAATCCGCTGACAGTCTGATGGGGACTCCTTTGTAGGTGACTGTCCCCTTAGCTCTTGCTGCTTCTAGGATTCTCTCCTTCATTTTAATCTTGGCTAATGTAATTACGATGTGCCTTGGTGTGTTCCTTCTTGGGTCCGACTTCTTTGGTATTCTCTGAGCTTCCTGGATTTCCTGGAAGTCTATTTCCTTTGCCAGATTGGGGAAATTCTCCTTTATTATTTGTTCAAATAAGTTTTCCACTGGTGGCTGTGCCTTTCCCCCTTCTGGTACCCCTATAATTCGGATGTTGGAGCGTTTAAAGCTGTCCTGGAGGTTCCTAAGACTCTCCTCATTTCTTTGAATTCTTGCTTCTTGACTCTTTTCTGTTTGGCCATTATTTGCTTTCTTCTGGTCCACTCCATTGATTTGAGTCCCAGTTTCCTTTTCATTGCTATTGGTGTCCTGTGCAATTCCATTCATTTCAATTAGTTTCGCCTTCATATATTTGTCTAATTTGTGGCTATAATCAACCAGTTCTGTGAGGATCCTGATCACCAATGTTTTAAACTGTGCGTCTGTGAGTTTTGCTATTTCTTCATCGCTTAGATTTATTGGCTCTAGGGCTCTGAGATCCTCCTGCGCCATTCTTGGTCTGTTCGGGCCCTTTAAATGTGAGAAGCGGCGACTTGGATTTACAGGTCGCTGGGTTGTGACGCTGTATGTGGGGGCGTGGCCAGAGCAGGGAAATGGCGACCCCCTCTGCCGCTTCTCACAGCTGGGTGCGGAGGAGCAGTGCCTTAGGTGGTTCACCTGGGCCGGGCCACTCAGAGTTGCTGGGTTATGACGCTGTATGTGGAGGTGGGGTCAGAGCAGGGAAATGGCGGCGCCCTCCACTGCCGCTTGCCGTGGGGACCTGCTGGCCCGGTCCAACCGCCCACTCTCTCGCCTGTCCACCCGCGCACAAATGCGCGACCTCAGTCAACACGCAGCCCCTGGCCCGGCTGTCTCCCCCTCGGTCGCTCGCCTGGTTGCTCGCTGGGTCGCTCACTAGGTCTGACCCTGCGCCTGGATTCCGCGGGCCTGAGTGTGTCTAGCCAAGTCCTCCTGTGCAACCCCGCTCCGCCAGCCGCTGGTTTCGCCCCTTACCGGTCAGGCTGAAGAATTTGTTGTTAACGGACTTCCGAAAAGTTCAATTTTCCGTGTTCTGGCTGTGTTTTCTGTTGCTAATATTTAGTCTTCTCTAATCTTGGTTGTGTGAGAAGGCACGGCACATCCACCTATGCCTCCATCTTGGCGGAAGTCCCCCATAGATTCTTTAAATCCCTGAATGTAGTTGATTTTTTTACCTTCACATATTTGATTTCTGAGTCTGAGTTTTTTCACCTTATAAATGGGTAAAATAGTTAGCCCCTTACAGTTATGTAGATTAGCTGAGTTAATCCACATGAAAGACCTTTATAAACCCAAAAGTTCTGTTATCTTGAAGATTATTATTATTACTATTAGGATTATCTTAAAGAATTGTCAATAAATGATTCTCATATATGGAATAATTCCTATAACATTAGATAAAAATGCTTATAAAGTAAGAACATTTTTCATATTATGAAATATTTCCTGTTGCATGCTAGTGATGGCTTTTTACACTAAATTCAAAATTTTGCATGTATCTGCATATCACCAGGTCAAAGGCCAGTAACTGCCTGCTGCAGACAAATCCCCAGAGTGTCAACTCCATCATGGTCCCCTCCAAGTTGCCAGGGATGACATACACCGCTGACGAGCAATGTCAGATTCTCTTTGGGCCACTGGCTTCCTTTTGTCAAGAGATGCAGGTAAGGCTGTGTCCAGGTGGAATGCATGTTCATGTTCATTGTTTAGAAGTATTAATCAGGGGAGAGGAAGAGGACTTTGTTTTAAAGTTTGTGGCTCAAAATTACCCCAATCTTGGAAAGAAGGATTTTCTAAGAAACGTTTTTGCATTTCCCCCTAGCTCTTGGAGGTGATATATATAAGTTGTGGGCGTTTACTTAATAAGGAATGACCCAAGAATTTCTACTTTGAGGTGGCACTGAAGTCAGGGAAATGCTTGCATTATGCCATTCCAATGCTTCTATTTTAAATCTCTTACTTCCTTACATGGTGGGTAACTGGGTAAAAATGTAATTCATCCGCCCTGGCTGGTGTAGCTCAGTGGATTCAGTACGGGCCTGTGAACCAAAGCATCACTGGTTTGACTCCCAGTCAGGGCACATGCCTGGGTTGCAGGCCAGGCCCCCAGCGGGGAGTGTGCAAGAGGCAACCACACACCGATGTTTCTCTTCCTCTCTCCTTCCCTTCCCTTTTCTCTCTAAAAAATAAATAAATGAAATCTTTAAAGAAAACATAATACATCAATATATGAACATGGAATTATGAAGAAAGAGTTGTTTTTTAACCCTGAATAAAAAGTTAAAAAGTATATTCTGCAGGAGTAACAATTAGAGCACAAGTAGTTAAATAGCTCAACCCGAGTAAGTATCTGATGGTCCGTATATGAATACTTGAAGTCACTGATTGCTCAGAAAGGCCGTCGTAGCAGCCGAGAAATCTGAAGTCTGGAGGGGTGAGCAAAACGCCCTTCTTAAGCATGTGAGAATTTCAGCTCTATTTGCCTTTTCTTCTTCCTTTCTCTCTTCCTGCTGCCAATCCCTGAGCTGCCCATTTCTTCCCAGTACGTACACACACACACACACTCTTTTTATTTTAGGAATGAACTGGAAGTCACACTTAGAGTGAATTAGTAACCATATTTCTTCTAAGTTTCTGTGATTGCTTCAAAGGACTTTGGCTTTACTGAAGATAATGTTCTCGTGGGTGCTGTTAGCCTACTTACTATTCGTTATAAGGAAAAGAATACATGGCATCATGACGTGCCTTCTTGACAAAGGAGTTGCTCACTTGCGTGTTCTTCTCCTCTCATTAATTCACTGAGCTAGTGTATAAGCTCCGCCAGGGCAGAGGATGCTTCCTCAGCCTCCGGCCCAGTGGCCGGCCCTGGGTAGGCCCTCAGTGACCATTGTAGCACCACATGTGAAAGCACGTGTAGGACGTAATGCCCATCCAGCAAGGGTGACGCTCAAGAAAAACCGGTGCAGGTGAGTGACTGCAACCTGGAACCTGTGGGTCCCCATGTGGTGGAGACCTGGACCCATGGAGCAGTGGCCAGGTGGGCTCTGTGTGGTCCATCTCTGAGACCTTTTTGTTCCCTTCTACTTGTCTGCTTATTCACTCTGCTCTCTGCGCTGGGCCTTTAGGTAATCAGGAAGTGGATGGCACGTTCTTTCATAAATCTTCGTGGTAAAAAAAGTGTCTTGAGGTCACAGGGTTGGTGTTGGGGGTAGACACGTCCACACGCTGACATTCTCATTGTTTTGGACGAAGAGTGTGTGGTTCCCGCCAGACTGTGCGGTAGACTGCTTTGGTCCATGCAGTGGGCGGAGTTGCTCCGGCTCAGAAAACATCCACATTCATACAGTGCTTGAAGGGCTGGGAAAACTCAGCAGATGGCCCACAACAAAGATGATTTGGGTGCATTTTAGATTATTTTTGCTAAACATTTTAAGAAGTTTTTAGAAATTATTTTTTATGATATACTGGGGTTAGTAAAAATTTACTGGTGCCATTCTACAATATTTTGAATTCTGTATTACAGTGTATAAATCATTTATATTCATGGTCTACTTTGATTCTTGCAATGATCATAGGCCACAATTACTCATTTCTGCTTTACAGACCAACAAGTTGAGGCCTGTAGAGGTTAAATGATGCATTAAGTTCTTTTCCCTGTTAAGAGAGACGTTAGATGCAAGTCCGAACAACAGAGTACGTTGTGAGTACTGTGTCCACTGCCTCTCATGGTACTTAAACTCTTTTCCGTGTTGCCTTTTCATAGAAAACCCTTACCTCATTCCCTGTGTTTATACTGAATTCATTTTACCTGCGATAGCATCTACACCATCAGGACAAAATTATACCTTAATTGATTTATTTTCCTAGGCTTTTCACTTTATTTATATAATTATTTCTCATGGACTTACTGCCATGGATTTTTTTTTCATCTCTGAAAATATAACAGTTTTATGCAATTTTAAATTTAAGTATCTCTGCATTCTAAAATGGTACCTTGTTTTAAATAAACTAAGCATTTTGCAAACAAAATTAAGTTTTAGGTTAGGTGTCTGGAAATGTTTTCCTCTTTCCCTCCCATCCGATTATATTTATGTGAATGTTTTATTTATAAAATCAGTCCTTCTTTCCTAGTTCTGTGTGCAATCTTTATCAAAGACATTTTTTTTTTTAATGATGCCTTGAAGGATTAGGCTGCTGTGGGCAGCCAAGGAAAAGCAAAGCTTCAGGGTCGGTTGGAGGTGTCTGGCTGGAGAAGCGCGAGGCCTGGGCTCTCACAGCGGTTCCCCTTCTTGTTAGGTGTTTGCCTCAGTCAACATGCTTTTTCTTTCTAAGCCGCGCTCTCTAGAGAATGGGAAGTGGGACTGCATTAGCTTGTGGAGTCTCTTAGAACTGCGAGATTGGACTTCCGTGATTCCAAAATCTTATTCTGTACTGTCCTTGAAAACTGCCATTCTGATCCCAAATGACTGCGGTGTTTGGCAAAGGAACCAGGTAGATGGAGAGGTAGATGGATAGAGCCCCTGAAGAGGTGATTTATAGACTCTGTCTCTGATTTGACAAATGGTTATTGAGTTCTAACCCCTTTCCAGACACTGCTCTATGCCCTGGACAGCAGGAAACAAAGACCACCTTCACGGATCCTGTATTTTAGCTGGAGAAGCAGACAATAAGCAGATACATGTAATATGTCACTTGGTGATAAGTACCTTGGCAAAGTAGAAACTCGGGTGAGATGTGTAGGGAATATAATCTGGGTGGGAGGGTAGGAATGGTACTATATAAACAGGCTGATCTGAAAGGCTTCCTGTAGGAGGTAACATTTGTTTAGAGATTTAAAGGAGTGTGGTAGCAAGCCATGCATTTATCTTGGGAGGAATATAGCAAGAAGAACTAGAAAGCAAAATACCCTGAAATGAAGTTTTGGCCATGTTTTAGTTTTAAGATGCCTATTAGACATCTAAGTAGATGCAGGTAGGTCCAAATAGACGTCTTCAAGAGGCATAACTTCAAAACCTCAGGGGAAATTGTTTGCAAGTGTATATGGTTGGATAGCTCTGCTTGTTAAGGCAGCACATACACACACGCACTCCAGAGGACGCACGTGTAATTGTCGCATCTACCGGTCTGCCACGCAGATTTTACTCAAAACAAATCTGGAAGGGGGTGTCTGTTTTTTTTTGTTTTTTTTTTTTACCACTGTGCCCCTAGCCCCTGAAAGAGTGTTCAACAAATGTTTGTTAAATAAATAAACAAATTGGCCGAATGATGCGATAGGGAGCCGACATTTTCACTCACCTCGATCGTTGATTTGCAGGCATGGGTATGTCCTGCTCCATTGTGCTCCCCTCCATTGGCTTCGTGGGCTTGTGGCAATCCTGGGCAGCATAAGTCCATCAGCACCATTTTCCCAACAAGCTCAGAAGGCGTTTAGCATTTTTTCGTACTGAAACATTCTTAATTAAGGTATTTACAACACATCATGTTTCAGGCACAATGCCATTTACACACTAAATGGACCCGCTGTATTGCAATGCTTGCTTTTTTGCAGTGGTCTGAGCTGAATTCACAATGTATTCAAGGTGTGCCTTTACTTGACATGTCCAGATAACATAAAGATAACCTTCTAAAGTATTAATTTAACCAAATTAATTTATTAATTAAATGTAGTAATTCATAACTCAATAAAAGATTAATTTATGACTATGCAAAAGCCAAGCATAAGGGCAGATAATTTATGTTTCATACCTTATACATGAGTCGGTCAGTCGTCCGTATCACCCTTCCCTTTCCCATCAGTTACAAATAACTTCCAAGCTGCATGGAATTTGGATTCATAGAAACTTTTCAACAATGTGCGTCTCTGGTGGAATGCTAGAGGCAATGGTCTGTAGTACCTGTTAGATGTTGCTCTTCCACACTTGTAAACATTTACACACAAGCACTAGAGACTCCATCATTACTTACATGCTGATCTAAGGATAACTTTACCTTAAGATGTAGGTGTAAATAAAGATGCTTGCGAAACACCCTGACTCCAGCCATGATAGCTCACTCTTCTGCATTAACATGGGAACATCTCGGGTGTCCTGGTTCCTGCGTCCTGGTGCCTCCAGGCCCTTTGGCATTTTGTGGCTGAGCCAGCTCCGACTGCCCCGGGTTATTTTTTGGAAGAGCTGCCTTGTAACAGTCTAGCTGAGAACACAGAGGTATGGGCACTTCCCTGGGATCAGCAGGAAGCGACTGCATAAGAGTTCCATCTTTTGAGTGATAAGGACGCGTGCTAAAAAATGGAAGACATCCTGGAGATGTAAGGCTCCACCTTTGCTGTGGGGCCAGGCACTTTGTGACTTGCGTGTATGTCACGGTACGTAGATAACTTCCTAGTGTTCTTGAGCCATACGGCGACTTCATACAGTTACACAGAGTTCCAGTCTTACATTTCTCTTGTATCAACTTGTTACATCAAAGTACGCAGGACCGCTACAACCTTTTGTCAAACAGGCTGGCAGTGAATTGAGGTGTGCCGTGAAGACTCCTGGAAGACTGAGTCATGGTGATCTGGTGCTGTGGCATTTCACAGGCAGTGGGAATTTGGACTTTACAAGGTTGAACATGAAACTGTGTTAATGGGTAGTCATTGGTTGAGCAACCAAAACAGCATCAT